TGGCTTATATATACTTTTCTCACTACATTCAAGTGTCTCTCGAAGTGTTTATGCATTCCACAACATTGTTCAGTAAATTATTACCTGATCTTTTCGTGGAACAACTGTATAAATAATTTAAAGCATTATTGTTTCATTTTTGAACCGATGACTCAAATATTGCTTCATATCAGGTGTTACTTTTTATTATTGACAAAATACCACTCAAAATAATCTTCCTATCTAGAAATATATCCCAACTTTACGAATTACTGAGTTGTTCTGACACTTTTTAATCTATGTTCATGATGATTAAACCGTTAGTATCTGTAGCACAAATCAGCTGGATGCTTTCTTTGCCGGTTTTTTTGCTGTGAAATATGGTCTATGAGAGTAGATGTGCATGGACTGGCTTTTGATCATAGATGTCTTCGAAGTATTGCTCCCGCTTCATGGAAGTCCTACTCACTGCTTTCTCGTGGCGGGGTTCTGCTTACGAAATTGAGAGAGCGAAAAGCGAATGTCCGGCGCTTTAATCGGATTAGTGGACACGGAGACTTCACTTAGGGGAGTTGGAAAATCCTGATTCCAAACCAATGGTGCACATGGGCTCCAGGATCGTGAAAGAACAAATGACATATGAACCAATCACTAGTCACTGGCTACCATGAGACTGCACCTTCTGAAGTTGCTCCACTGCCTTGTGGATCAGATCTTTAGGTCGAAAGCTTCTGGTGTGCCTGCCTAAGAAGATCACCTGCTTTGGTCAGGGCACCCGGGTATTATCACAGTCCACACACAAATCAAGTGACTTCTGTGGCGCATATGTATCTGGTGCCCCCTTTGTCCCAATATTTGTGTTCAGACTAATAAATGAACGACCGAGTGATTGACGCATACAGTACTGGGAAAATTTGACAAACCAGTTAATGTTTTAAATCTTCATCGATTGAGGTGGTTGGGGCATATTTCTGTGTATGCATAACCACCTCCTACTTCACGCGAGCAACACTTAATATTTTAGAATTACGTTGGAAGAAAGCTGAGGGTAGTCGAATCAAAGTGTAGCATCAGTCAATGAAGCAATTGCCTGTTAGTCTGACACACATTGGCAATTCCAGAACACCTGGTTGGGGTTAAAGACTGTGTCATATAACTTGGAATCGTTCACATTGACGCAGATGCATTTTTTGCAGTTACCTTTCCACTTTTTATTTTCGAAACATATTCCCATTGTTACTACATTATTTTATGCGCTTTTGTCATTTCCATCTTGTCGTGCTAATGTGGTATGGCAACTTAGGCTAGCAAACATCTTTTTCAGGCTATATGTTGATGATATTTGTCTATTGCGCTACTGATTGGCATGTAATTATCTGTTGATCATTATTATATCTTATAATGTACATCGTTGTTTAGTGAGCGTCTTTACATGTATACAAGCATATTATTCATCATGTAGGTTTGATAAATAATCAACATTTATAACTCCGTAAGTCAGTTTGTATAGTGCTTTCAAAAATAAAAAATATCAGTCTAACAAACAGAGGATTTTATTATTTCCTTTTTTTTTGTTTGAAAGAATTTAGGTTTAATTTTCAGTGTATTTTGTGTTCAATACAATTTTTATTTCTTGACATATGTCTTTCTTTGTAAGTGCATTTTAAATGGACAATCAATTTCTCCTTATGATGATTTATCATAACTTATCATTTGTAAACTAAAAGCGTCAATTTTATATTGTGTGAATATTGGACAACTTTCATTCATTATTATACTTATAACAGTTAAAACTTATTCATTAATCCCCTTTTTAACTAAATGTCATCGAATGGTTAACATAAACATATTGCAATAAGTGACATATTCTTATGGCATATGTAAAATGACTGTTATCGCATCTTGTTTCATACAAAGAGTAGTTATATATATTTTTTATTAATCATAAATGTACTTATGACTTTGTCTTACTTGTGAAGCCTAACTAATGAAGAATCAAGAAAAAATTGGGAAGAATTTGGTAATCCCGATGGTCCTGGTGGTGAGTTTAATTAAATTTTATTCAATATCCTAGTTCAGATGTTGCATATATGTGTTATGAGTTACTAACCAATGCCTACCTCGATGCCAATTGTAGGTTTTGTTAGTTGGGAGAAAATCACGGGCTGCCAAACGAGAGCTTGGCATTAGTTTATAAAATCATTGACTGTTAGTCTAGGCTCCGTTGGTAAATGCAGACTAGCTGGTTGAGATCCGCGCGAAAATCTCTGTCAAAGATTGGAGTTGCTGGTTAACACATCTCAGAGTTGCTCACAATAGCGCCGATCCATTTTTAAAAAATCTTACTCCACATCTTCGATCCAGTTGCTTCATACTTATCTCCTTAATCTGTTTTTTTTTCGAAGTGTTCTTAATTTTTATTCCTTCTCGTCATTGCAACTTCATTATTTCGATTTGTATGCTTAACTTCATCCTGTCGTGTTAACATGGTATGTCGATTTCGGTTAACTCACATTTGTGCCAAGCTCCTTTTTGATTATAACTTAGTGACATAAAACTAACCAACCGAATTGAGGAAAGCGACTATAGTTGTGTGGAGCTGTTTATTGACTGTAATTTTAGCTACTTATTCATCAGAACTAGAATCATGCTTTATTTATTTGGCTCTGGAAAACCAAATCAATCTTTTACGTGTTACCGAGTTATGTGGATTTAAATTGTTTAATTATTCATTTGGTTCAAAGCATGATTAATAAATTTCATAGCTTTCGTCTATTTAAATTAAGCGTTCTGTGTACGTTTTTAATCCATTACAATATAATTGCTTGTGTGCCTTCTCAGTGGATTGAGAAGTTTATCGTTAGTTTTGTGTCAGCATAGTTTAAATATGTCTAATTTTTCTTTATGTATGTAATGGACATATGTTTGTGTTTTTCTAATGAGTTGAATTAATGCTCTAGTACGACCGAGGGTGAGGAGAGTCATCTCTTCCTCTCGAAATACTTTCACACAGCTACGTGTACATAGCCACCACCAGTGACGTCCTACTCACTGCTTTCTCGCGGCGGGGTGTTGTTTACGAAATTGAGAGGATAAAAGGCGAATGTCCAGCGCCTTAACTGGGTTAGTGGACACAAAGGACCCACCTAGGGGAGTCAGAAAACTCTGATTCTAAACCAGTGTTGCATATGGACTCTAGGATCCTGAAGGAACAAAAGGTATATGAACCTACTGTTGGTCTCCGGCCACCATGTGGTTGCATCTCCTGGAGTTGCTCCACCACCTTGTGGATTAGACCCCTAGGTCAAAGGCTTAGGTAGTGGTTCCCTAAGAGAACCATCTGCTTCGGCTTGGGCGCCCGGACAGTATTCCAGACCTCACAAAGTCGAATGAAGTGTGACACATGTATACTTGATGCCCCCTTGCACTAATGTTTATGTGTTTAAGTAAATAAATAATGGATATGAGAGTATATTAGAATTAAAAAATTTCATACTCAAATACAGAAAAGTATTTGTAAATATATTATTGCAAAATTATAAGTAATCGTATATAAATTTATTTTTACGTTTATTCTGGTCACTCGTAGTTATTATTACTTTTTTTATATAACTCATCAAGTACAGAACGAACTGGTTTAATATCTATCGATTAAATGTAAACCTCACATTTACTTGAAGTATGTCATGATAACGATGTTCCGAAAGACGACGAAACCTTCGTAATTAAACCATCTAACTTAGAGAACATCTACAGATTTATGCATTAAGCTTTGGGTTACGTTGTTCAATTAGTCGTGAAAATATGCGTTAGGCCAGGATTGGAATCTGTAATTTACTAGTTGACCGTCAATAGCTTTTCACAAATAAGCTCCACTGGTCAATGTTGAGTAATTTCAAAATTTTAATCGATTTAATGCATGCCAGGATTGAGTTCAGTATTGACAGCATCCTCCACATGTGTTTGTTGTTGTTTGTGAAGCTATTTAACTATTGATAGATTCAAGTTCGTATATAATTCTTTCTTTTCTGAAAATAACTTAATGATGATCGTTTTTTTAAAAAAAACTATATTATTTTACACACAATATTTAATACTCTCATCTGTCTGTTTTCATTTATCCACCACCAACTGACTGACTATCCACCAATATGTATATCAAAAGATATATCACTATAACACGATGTTTATTCAGAGTATACATTTAGCGTTTTGTGAAACTGTATTCTGAGTAAAAGTTAAATGTTTCTTTAGATCCACATAATAATTAATATCGCTATTCTATCTGCGATTGACAAACGTCCATCCAATTATATCAAAGTTGAACAATGTAGAACCTAGCACATGTGCGCATCGTTTCAGGTTGCCATACCCTATCAGCACTTGGCTAGATGAAATTGTCAGGAGAAACCCTAGACTAGCAGAAGTATTAATAGAAAAGATTAGACGAAAGAACGGTTTCAAGAAAATGTAAATTATTGAAGAAAAAATCATCAGGGATTCAAAAACTTAGATTCTCAGGGAAAACAAAGATTGAATACGCATACACCATTGAGAACAAGTTTGAGTCATCTCATCCAAAGTGTCTAACTAATGGTTATGATAATCACTCAAATATAAGCTAAAAAAACTCATCTATTATTTGATTAAGCTTACTTATTTTGCATATTCTAACTTGCGAAAAACAACTATTACAATATTTCCCATCTCTAGCCTAGAACAAATTATATGTCTTTTAAGCTGCTTTTAAATAATAACAAAAATAAACGATATGATTAAATTTCTATATTTTTCTTTTAACAGCTGCTCATTTTGGTATTGCATTGCCCAAATGGATGGTTCAAAAAGAAAATTTCTATCTGGTATGTTAACTGCCTTACATTCGTGTATAAATTATCCTTTTGTCTTGTTTTTGTTTTTAAACTCATTCATCAATAGAAAATGTTCGTAAACTTATTTTCATTCATTAATAAGTTGCTAAGAAGGAGTAATTTATTGGTAGATATAAGCTCTACATGATTATTAGTTTCATAGAATATAACTAAACGAAAATTCTGACTAGATTTTAAACACAATTGTACTATTTCAGATTCTATCTATAAATGGATTTAATGTATTACTAGCGAAGTGTTGGTGTAGCTTAGTTAATTATGTTTATTAACAGTCGGTATGTTTTATTCTGAGCATTTATCCCATACTTTAAATCCATTTGTTTGTCTTAAAGTATTTACTTCGTAAGTTTAGTTATCCAGTATATTTGATATACTTATTCTGTTCTTCTGTTTCTTTCTTGTGCTGATACTTTTTTTCTTTTGTTGTATTAATAATTTGTGTAACATGTTTGACTGGTGCTTATCTTTTTCGATGTTGTATCGTCTTCTATTACTGATGACCATTTTCCCAGCTGATATTAATATTTTCTGCTACTCCTTGTACATTACCACACTTCAGTCAGCTCTTCCCAGATTAAAACAAGAATTCGAAGTAAATAATATAGATTCCAATAAAAAAACAAATCTCTTAGTATTTCGTATTGTTTATTCGAATCTTCCCATTGATGTTTAAGACTGCAATTGATCAGTCTCTTATTGGCATATGTACATCCTGTGTGGATTGCCTCGATGTTGCCTTAAGTCACAAGTATTATAAACAAAGATGGATGATGGCTAGCTGACGAGTCCTAAAGTCTTTATTCACTACAATATTTTAACAGTTGATGACTACCGTTTGATGTTATAGTTGGTGCTGTCAACCTTAATAGAAAGTTCACATGATGCCTCTAAGTATATGTGTATTTTATTTAAAAAGATTGAATAGATTGATTCTTGTTTTACTACGATATTAGTTTATTTTCCTTGTCTGACAGTAAAAGTCTGCATAGAGAGGTATTTATAGAGTTCACCAGTTTATTGTAAATTTTAACTGATTATTTGCAATTTTATTGAATTAGTTAGATGATAATCTAAGTTACACTAGAATAAATAATGTTTAGAAAGAAGTTGGCATACGATACATTAAATCCTAACCTCGTTCATATGTTTTTTCTATCCTCAATTCTCCTCTTTTCTACGAAAAAAGTATTATTGGTCAGAAAATTTATGGTTTAAAACTTAATCTCATATTTCAAAAGATTTTCTAATTGTTTGCAGACATTCCAACTATTTCATCTTATTCTCAGACTAATAATACTTTTGGTATTATATATATATATATATATATATATATATATATATATATATATATATATATATATATATATATATATATCTGGTGCTATGTTTGAAGCGATTACAAGATCACCAAAGTCGGTGAATCAACTAAGGATCAACGACACAACGAAAAGACACGCTAAACTATTCCGATGCGTCCCAGCTCTGCTAACTAGAGGGAGAAGACTCGGTTCAGATGAGACAAAGGTATATTCCACAGCATTCAGAAGCACGAACAGCAACAAACACACAACTCAAGCGTATATATACAGCATAAAAATGTCCTTGGAAAACGTCATTATATAGCGTATTAAAAGTGGGGACGAACCAATGACATATAAAGTTTTTTCAAGTGTGAAATACAATCTGAAGGTAAAAATGGGCGCCTTTGGTGCGAAAACGTTTTACCAAGTGATTTCTAAGGGTTCTAGTATTCCCAACATTTGGTAAGCGGAAACTTTCCAACTGATTAGAAGGAACGCTTATCTACTTTTTGTGAATCTAATCTTTTGTTTTGAATTTTGTCAGGGTATACACCACATTTGATCATCTAAATTAAGTATTTTCTTTTGAGAAAAAATATTATTTTCTTACAACTCTTTGTATTATTTACATATCCCATTTGACTGTGTGGTAAACCTACCTTATTTTTAATTTGTCAACTTTTAATCGGTATTTAGTTGTGTTTTTTGTGTTTGTGGGTGTGTGTTTAATTTTATTTATTTCTGTCCTCTATACACACAGGTTATTGGAGCATATATATTACTGTTCATGATAATATTGCCAATTTCTGTGGTATGTTTATTATTGTTGTCTTTTGTTTCTTTTTTCTTTGGTAACAAAAGTAATCGGTCAATTGTTTAGTTATGTTTTCTAAAGTTGAACTTTGACACGCATAATCAATTAAAGATTTAGTGGATCTTTATCTGATTCCAATTGGATCGTATGAATGATTGCTATCGAAATATACATCCCAGCTACCCTCGTATATTATTATCAATTTAATCCGCGTTAGTGAATAATGAAGTTAAATAAGCCAAATACAAGAATGGATTTTGAATACGTATATTTCATATAATCGTTGATCCAGACAGACGACCAGGAAGACGAAGCGAAGAAGAGAGCGGAGGAATACGAAATGACGTGTAGTGAAGAATGAGAGTAAGCCTACTCAAACGTTACTCAATATTCATATTCAGACAAAAATAAATTACAGACACGTAATGAATAGGATAAGCAATTAGCACATATTCACTTGGCATTGTTTGGCTTGTATCTTCCCATTGAGGTTTAAGACTGCAATTGATCAGTCTGTTATTGGCATATGTGCATACTGTGCGTATGCCTCGATATTGTTTTAATTCACAAGCTATTTGTAAGCAATGATGGATAGTGGCCAGCAGTGGAATCCAGGACGCGCGTTTCGTCCTATTTGGGACCCGTCAGCTGGATGTACCTGCATCTCAGAGAGTTGATGCTCTCTCTGGGACTTATATTCGATCATACTAAAACAGTCAGGGTTAATGAGTGAATAATTGACAAGGTCAAAACGTGGCTTGAAAAGAATGAATAAGTTAGCTTGTCCAGAAGCTAAAATAACTTACACGAGCTGTAAATAATACCAACCACCAAAAAATTTTACAGTATAAATTGTTTTTAGGGTAAGCAAATGCTTAACAACTTTGTAGTAATTCACTACTATTGATATAAAATCTCTAAAACGTTTCATCCACTTATAGTTAGACATTTTAATGTTTAAGTATTTGTATGTTGCTTAATTTTCACATCAAGATATATATTTTAAGAGGCGACAAACCTTGTTCTTCACTAAGGTATCAACTAGTTATTACTCAAATCAACTAGAAGATCAAAACCCAATGGTTTCTTCTCAATAATTACAAATTCTCCGTATAAGTTCTTAAGTTCTGTAGTCAATAGTGTTTAACTGTCTTATTAAATATAGCCTTAAAAATGTATCTTTTCCTTATTCATTATAATCTTTTGCTTCAAAACTTTATAATTTGGTGACATATTCTGGTCTTAACACTAAAATATTTCTCTTGTAACTGCTTGCGGGTATTTTTTTATTTCAAGGAAGGTACTGTTGCAAATTGTTTAGATCATTCCAAGCATCTAAAAAAATACAAAATCTTACTAGTGTTTAAATTCTTCGGTGACTTACTAATGGGTATCAAAAGTTCCGGTAAAGGGAATGTAGTAATCGCTATATGTTCAATGCGTTCGTTCTATATGATAATCTACAATGTCATTCTCTAAAATGGTTCACATTTATATATAACATTGTTTGTTATCTTTTAGGCAATAAATTCATATCATATTACACCAAGTGTATTGTTTATCTGATCAGTCATTCCAACTGGTAACATATTTCGTTTAGTTAGAACTCTTCGATTCGTCCTGGCGTTAGCATGAACTCTGCACAGTATTACATGCTGACTATGATATAAATGAATCTTGCAACTAGCGAATAAGTTTCTAGCCTCAATAATGGTAAATTCTTCGGTCGAAAACCAGCGTAAGTTTAAAGTACTGTTATGCCAACTGATATGTTGGGACAAACAAGTGAGCAATGCTGAGGTTAGGCATAGAGTACCGGGTAAACATGTCAACTTGGTTGATGGGGTAATGAACCTTCACCAACTGAGATGGTTGATATATGTACTAAGTTTGCTCAAACATAGCCTATTTCAATGGGCGATATTCATTGGTCTGGATCTGAAGTGAGCTAGTATTGACCATACCAAATCGCTGACTATTGGACTAAACTGTAATGGTAGATGGAAAATATATGGTTGGAGTCGGTGCTACTATTGTAACCAATGAGTAGAAGTTCTGAGTGACATAGCTTAGCATCAGTCACAATAGCGAAGATGCACCCACAATTTTGTTTCTATTAGATCTTCAGTTTTAAAAATATCTTAGACTTCTATTCTCTGACTACAGTCCTTTTGAGTCATGTCTAATGTTTTTTACTATTATTGATTCTGTTAATACTTCTACTCCTCGTGCATTTGTCCTGGTAATTTCATTTTGTTGGTGTAATATGATGTGTCAACTTGAACCAATGTACATTTGTGCTTGGTTTTACATTCCTTATGACCGACCGAAATCACTCTACAATTGTTCTTTCCCCGTTATTAATACGCAGTTTACTAATGTTTAGTAATGACAACTAGTCAACACCAATACTGTTCTTAATAAGTTGATCCTCCATAAGTGTATTGAATCCGGCTCGACACATTTCTTAAGTATGCGAGGGACTATCTTATAGAAATACAATCATAAACTGGTTACAGATTTCATTTCATAGTTATATATGTTATTTTGACCATTACATCTCTAATTGAAGCGTTGGTTCAATGCTTAAGACGTTTGACTTTCAATCACTGAGTTGTGGGTCCGCTTCATCTACTTCAGTTTGGATAACTTTGTAGAGTATCACTAGCTCTCACACACTTGAGGTGGGACTGAAGTTATTATACACTAATTCGAAAATAATAATCTCATTGGATATATGTATATAGTTTACAATTGTTGTCAGTATATTCAAACTCATTAATGAAATTTTTTAATTGTATAAACTATCCATTTTATTTGTATGTTTTTTTAGCTTTGGTTTTTAAATAATTAACAGTAGTCAGCTATACACAATGCCGGACTTGGAAGACATGCCCACCCTTTCAAGTTGACACACCACAATGTCAATATAGTGAGATGGTAGATTGGTAGAAGTTATAACCGTACTAGTTGTTGTGCAGAAAATTAGGCATAGACCGTATGATTCAAGAAAAAGGAATGAGTTTGTGAAATATTAAGTCTAAAATAGTTTTGAGACCCAATATATAAAAAAAGAAAATTATGAATATATCTGTGTTATTATAATTAAATTTAAGCCTTGGTCACTCAAAGTCCTCCAAACACCACTGTTTAAAATAATTACGCAAACCCTAACCAGATAGGCAGTCTGCACCAACCAACATGGCTCAGTTCCAACAACAAACCTTTTTAACGGTTCAGTGGATTATATTTGACTTTTTTTAATGGTGATACTCGTTCTTCAATAATATGTTTGTTTATTTTTTCTTTTATATTTCACAGGGTGTTTGGTGGTATAATACGATGAAATTTAGTAATAACAATGTACTGTTGGATACAATAAGATATTTTTGTGGTGCATTCATGCGTTCACCTTATATGGCAATGCCACGTATTATTAAAGTATTATCCACTGCATATGAATTCAATCCAAATTATAATAAAGAAATAATTTGTCGACCAAGTGATAACACTGAACTACCTCCGGTTAGTTGTTTCCCTTTTTTATTGGAATTTTATCAAGTTAATTTATATTTAAGGAAAGTTTTACAATGGTAGTAACATTATACACTGCTAGATGTACGAGTTATCGCCGTAACATATTTACGTTTTGATGGTGTGTTGTACTCTCTGTTTAATAGATGGTTTCAACACAATGCCTTCATTGTTATTCTGAACATCATCATCATCAGTCCCTACTTTATTTTGAAATGTTTGTAATGCACAAAAGAATTCACCCAAACAGTTGTTCATCTGGGTAAATATTAATAACCTAGCTAAATTTTTTGGGTCATCATTACATCAAATGTTTATTTATCTTCATAAATTTTCCTGTCTTAGATTCACTTTCTTTAACTAATTATGTGTGATAAGCGCATGTACTTATCTGCCTTTATATATCGTTTACAAGTTATTGAGAAGTTAATGACTAAGAAGTACCACCACAATATTTCATATACCATCCTACTCTGTTCTTTGGAAGAACAAGGAGTAATTCCTACGTTAAATATATTATTAGGTGATAGAAACGGGTGTTCCGAAAGAGAACATATCTGATTGTAAACGTTTACGTATGCATATCGATGGCAGCAAATTGACGTTTAAAATATTTAATATCTATGTTTTTAAATATTCACATGCTAAATACTTATAAAACAGGTAATTCACTACAGTATTGCATATTTTGTACTGTGACCTCATTGCTCTAATCAAACATATGGTATTAAATGAAGCAGTTTATTATTGTCATCATTATTTGACTAGTTTGATGCGGCAATATTGTCTATAACCAGATTAACTTAAATTCATTCAATGTTTTAAAGGTAGTGTTCATCTAGTGTCTGTCACTGAAGTACCGAGTAGCCGTTTTACCCTATTTTTGGAATCTTCACCTATGTGGACCCAAAATACCATTTATGTGTGGATCCAAGAATTTTCACAGGTCCCATGGTTTGTTAGATCACCTAATGTCATAAGAGTGACTCAGTTATACTCATCAATGATAACATTGAATGATAGTGTCATCTATAATTCTAGTTGATTGAAGTTGTAAAAAATGAGGACTATTCGATGCGTTAAGTCTGTGGCTGCTTTTCTGTTGTTCATCGGTTAATGTCCACTCCTGGTAAAATAATCTTCAAGGTGAACTAAATTTTACTTCATGAAACACTATTCAATGTTTTTTTCCATTACCTATATATAGTGTAGTGTGTCATCATTAGTAATGATTTCACTGATATTAAGGTCTGGATTTTCGATCAGTCTTTATTTGTCGTACGTCCAACGTTTTCTGGTTGTCTCTGTATAGTTGATTGTCGAAACGTACTTGGCTACGGGTAAATTCACCTGATAACTCTCAGATAAGACGAGACACGTGTATTAAATTTCACTGGTACTCACAATCTATCTTATTTAAAAAGATAGTGGATTATTGTCTAAAATACGATAGTCGTCTTCAAACATACAGCATAATATATAATGTTACGAGTTTAACATTATTTTGTTTAGCTTAGTAGTCAGAGATCTACACAGTACAGTCAACACTGAATAACTAAGGTGTTGTTATTTATTATTTGAATGTTATCTAATTACAGGTATATCTAATCAGTTATTATTAATTTACTCTTTTTTTTCTATTTCCACATTATTTCTAGTTAATTATGCAGATACCATTCTTCACTATTTTTAAAAAAGCCATCGTTGGGTCACCATATTCAGTAAAAGCTAGAGCATTGATTTATGCACATTTGGAACGTTTAGAGCTTCCAGCTAACACTTTACACGTTGGTAAGCGTTCGTACCATCTCTTTATCTTTCTTTTTTCATCGATTCCACTTTTTTGTCAGTATGGAAATTTGTAGAGATTGTAGTATTTTAACAGTTGAATTCACTAGTCGCTCTAAGATAGACCGCCATTAAAAACCTGAAAGCACTGGGTCGTGGATGTGCACAATAGGAAAAATGTTACTATATTTCTAGTTTTTACATGAGAAGATTCTAGTGTCCTCCAAGTATCGACTAGCGCTGATTGGATAAGAATTAACCAATCAGTGTGCAGCAATCCAATCGTGCATTGAGCATGCTTTAATGCAATCTATGTCCCGCTAACACTAATGAATTAATCTCCAATAGATTTTATAAGTTGTATTACATTGATGCACACAATTAATGTCCAATCGATTAGTCATTGAATAGTGATTCATATTATGTTCATTTAATCATTTAGTGGTGATCGAATCCTATCGAATAAATTGCAATATGGTCACTGGTCTAAGTGACTGGACATCGCATACATTATGTTAAGATGTAAGGTGATTACAGATAGTCAACAGGAAACTTTAAATATAGGTTTCGTGTTGGTTCAGGTTCGTCAGAAATGGTATAGCTTCAACCTCAAGGTAATTGGTGAAAACCCGTACCATCCAGTCTCTTAGTCTGTGATATTACTCAATGATCCGGCTAACGACTGACCCTCCATAAAGGGTACACATCGTTTACAAGCTCCAACCAGCAAGGAACTTAGGTTCAGAGTTCCCTACCAGCCGACTGTTCTCAACCACCTTGCACACATTTATATTTATGTAAACTGTGTACTTACTTGGATCACATGCGTACGCTCTTTTCTGACGGACAGAACCTCCAGTAATAGTATAGAACTCCAGAATAGATTATTTCATAAGCAGTTTGACGACTTTTTGCAAAAATGTTGAAGAAAACTAAGCTTAAATGTATCGATGGGAATGTAAAAAGTGTTTAATATTATCAAAGAGATTTCTTAACTATCGTTCTTATATCTTGTGGACGACAACCGAGGGTATTTCTAGTTTGCTAAAATCAATAGCCAGTAACTATTCACCACTGTTTCTTTTCGTATATTAAGTTTAACTACTCCCTAGCTAAAATCCAACCCTGTATATTTTGTCCGCTTGAAAGTTGTTGCTTTTCTAACTTGGTAATCATTAGTATGAATCGGTAATTAATTGTAAGGAATTCTTGTCGTTGAATAGAGAATGACTACTTCGCCAATCTGCTCTAACTATTCTCAAAAGCAGAAGAGTAAACCTAAAGGAATTAAATGGCCTTATAAAGTAAACACACTAAACATATCACACAGTAGTCTAAAAGTTATGTGCCCACCAAGAGATCTTAAGTTCCTGGGTCCGGTTCCCGACGGATCGTGAATACGCACTGCTAAGACGTCCCATAATAGGGTGAAACAGTTGTCCAGTGCTTCCTGGCTTTCAACAGCTGTTTAACAAATTTCAGTCGGTGATGTGTACTTAAACAATATTCACATATCTCCTATTATTTACAAAATTCCTTGTGAAAGCACACTAAAATGTAGGCAAGTTAAATCATAAAGTACGATCATAAATCGTTAGACAGTGTTTATTATAAGGAAGTCGTGAAATTCTTTTAGGCACTTTTAGGTTTCTTTTTTAAGTGCTTTAAGGTATTGCATTTTGTCAGTATCGTTCATGTAACAGAAGACTTTTGAGTAAAATTTAACAACCTGTGTTTCAGTCATAATCAACTTGGGACGTGGCACAAATATTCATTGACCTAAGCTATCATACCAAATTATCACACACAAGATCAAAATAATTAGTAAAGGAGTTAAAGTAATGTAGTAGCTTTGATAATAAGAAAAGCTATGCGTTGAAAATATATTTCAAGAGAATGGAATGAAAAGGTAAGTATGAAGTTATACTGAATCACAAGACATTCATTAATATAAAGAGATTATACATCTACGCTCTTGTGATCGATTGTGAACTATATTACCCAAGGCGTGTGTTTAACCAGGGATCATAGTTATACAATCTGTATTTCTTTTCATTAATTTTTAACTCATTCACAATAATTTATCAAACATTCTGTTCTGGGCGGTTTATTCTGGTCTGTTTATCTTTTTCCCCTTGTGTCTTTGTTTTCATATTTACAGATAGACAGTATATTATTAAACATTCGCCTCGGTTAATTGACGAAATGATCAACAGTTTGCTATACGTTCTAGCTGTGGCAATGGACGAAGGTTTGTTGAGCGACGTAATTTCGTTTTTTTAGAAAAACTTATCTGTTACCTTGAGGTTGATTTGGTCAAGTACATACCATTATTACTGGCATTATTGTTACTTTTATTGAGGTAGAATAGTTTAAATATGGCTAGCAGTGGAATCAACGCATTTTGTCCTATTTGGGGCTAGTTATCTGACTGTACCTACATCCCACAATTGATGTTCAATTTTTAAAAAAAACGCGTGATGATGCAAATCATTACAGACAAAATTAAAATTCATACCCGTTGCGCAAATAGGTAGCTATTTGGATTCAGTAGCTAAGGGGTTGACGCTTTAGTTTTTGGAGCGAAAAGTACTAGTTTCATATCCTGGATGGGATGCAGATACCTCTTTTTGACCAGTCCCAAATAGGACGAAACGCGAGTTCTGGATCCCATTACTAGTCATATTCTATCTATTTAATGTAAATAAATAAAAATAATATATTTGTAATATCCCAATGAGTAGAAATTTTCTACTCATTGGGATATTACAAATATATTATTTTTATTTATAACAATCAACCCAATGCTCAATTTATTCGAAATTATCAAATCAAACCTTGGTAATGACACCTATTTAATGTAAACTTATGTTATAATGGCAGTATCGAGGCAATCCTAGCAGGCTGCATATATGCCAGCCAAGACTGATCAAATTTCAGTCAAAAATATTAATAACGAAATAATAAAAATCATTAAACATTAAATATATTATTATTATTAGCATTGTTGCCTTCTTGCGTACTGTCCTTGTTGAAAAGGAATTTAACATGGTCTTACCGCGAGAAACAGGATTTCAGAATCAGCCAGATGATAACCTATAGACTTTGCTACGTAGTTAGTAGTCACTGTCTTCATATATATATCAGAAGTTATGACCGTATAGCTGTTTGGGGTGACAGTGTTTGAATGAATCGGATTTTACATAGATCACTTATATATTCCTTCCAAATTATGAATTCAACTCCTTGCTGATGATGATGACCTGAAAAAAAACTAATGATAATTACGTGTAAAAATATATCTAAGCCTTTTTTTAGCATATCGAGTATTGAGTTGTATTGCTCGTTTAAACTGGCATTATTGATATTCTTTCTGTGTATCACTTATCAAATAAGTCATGACTATTCAATTGCGCACAAATAGTTAAGGTTCAAACAGTAAAGTGCTGTGCTGAATCTTCAATACGAACGTCAAAATGGTATGTTGGTGCATTTATCTGAATAGGTTCAAAATAGGACGAAAGACGCATCCTAAATCCCATTATTATCCACAAGCTATTTATTCTACGTAAACATCTGACAATATGACGATATCTAGGCAAACTGTCCTCAGTGTATCTGCCGACGAAGGCGGTTAAAAAATATGGTTGAGAATATTGACCATTGGTTGTTTCTTTATCCTTGCTAATAATAATATAAATTAAATTGTTGATTCATTAGAAACAATTTTACAACTTACAGCTAATATCTTGATTAACATTTAACGGGGAATGTTGCTGGCGATGTCCTGCATGATAGATTAGAGGGGAGCAGTTAATAGGTTATTCTACTTAGCTGATCTTACGTTGACGCTTTCTAATAGACCAGTGATATCTACTCAAACAAAAGATAAGTTACCTGAGTTGACCTCTTCAATGTGCATTTAAAAATTCATCTGCTCCTGTAGCGATACCTATAATTGGCATACTATCAGGTAATTTAACTAACAAATAAGTGAACATTTCCCAGCTTGGTTTGGAAAAGATCAGGCAAAGATAATACACAGTTTTATTTTGGCACAGTTGATTAACAGTGGTCATATAATAAATAGAGCCAAATCATTTTAAATAATTTGTCGCATACCTTCATCATTTTGTAATGGGGTTTGACCCTATCTCGTACATATAGCAGAAGCTATAAGGATTCGAGCCTATAACCCTAGTGTATATGTTCAGAAGAGATTTGTGACAGCCTTGTTCCTTCCTTGACAGTATATAACATAGTAAACGATTTATACTGATTTTTTTCACACTCTATTTATTTGTCATTTTTCACCTTTTTTCATTTGTGCTTTACACTATCTAATTATTTACACACTTCCTGTTACGTAATTTTTATAATATTTTGTATTCTTATTATTTTAACAATTTTTTAGATCCAAGTTTAACATTTTGTTTTCTTTATCATTCTTATCATTACCATTCGTAAATCTGTCTAATTAACATTAATTTGTACTTTTACCTAATATACGAAAGGGGTTTTGTGGATATAATAGTAATTTAATAGTTGAGTTCATGAGTCAATTAAAGCTAAACCACCATAGAAACCTGGAAGCACTGGATCGTGGATGCTGACTGCTGAGGTTTCCCAAAATAAGACAAAACAGCCGTCCAATGCTTCCAGGTTTCCCATGGTGGTCTATTTTCAATTGACTCATGAACTCAACCATTATTTTACCTGATAAATAAATCCATCAGACATATAGTTGACATTCTTCACAGCTAACAAATTCCTAGATGTTTCTTGAAGTATTGAATTACGTACCAGAATTTGAAATGTGTTTTTCTTATGAACTGTTGTCTGTGTAAAAGAATAATTTAGATATATTCGAAAACGATACACGGAACATTTATTTCTGTCTTGTTTTAAAACTTCTCATAATTCAGAGGTTTGTTTGTAAAACATTTTGGACTTGTTAAAGGTTTTGTTCAATTGCTTTTATTCTACTGCTTAAGTTTTTGTTTCTTGTTATCGATATTGAGTTTAACAGAGAGACTTGTATGTACACAATCGACATTATTTAATCAACGATGTTATCAAAGAAAAAAGTGTGAATCTGATACGCGTTATACAATAAAAGGTTATAATTGATCTGTTATTTATTTCTAAGCCTAGTCCGTCCCAGTTTGTTCGAAAGAAGTCGATCAGTATTAGAAAACGCTAGACAAACATGATATTAGTTACTCCACAGTGATCAATCAGTTATATATATATATATATATATATATATATATATATATATATATATATATATATATATATATATATATATATATATATATATATATATAATACACCTACTGTTATGTATTATACTGTTCTAGCTAATTCAAGGCATAAAACACCGCAACACTTAGCTACCATAGAAAATTGTATGCATTTAATTCCGATGCTGGTTCAAGCACTTACGGACAATGCTTCACCGTTACTTCAACTTCCACATATCACTCAAACTCAACTTAGACATATGGCGACTAAACAAGTGAGTTCACTGTAAACGATATAAACCTTTTCTATCGCATTAAATGGCCAATAATATTTCATTGAAATCACAGATCGATCAATGGTAGACTAACATTGGAAAACTGGAATCACTGGACTACCGTTTCTTCCTAGTGACAGTCGGTTGTCTAGAGGTTAGACGTTCATGCGCGAAATCGAAGGTCCTGGGTCTGATTCCCGAGTTCAATACCGTGAATTCACACTGTTGAGGAGTCTCATAGTATAATGCAAAGGCCGTCTAGTGCTTTTAGGTTTTCGATGGTGGTCTAGCATTTATCGGTTCATGATTTCAATGAGACTCAACGATCTTCAGAACCCTATACTGACAACCATGAATACGTTTAGATTTCCTAAATTTTATCAGTACAAATGATAGTATGTTAAATACGTAGAATGTTTGCAATTGATTGATCACTGGGTGGTGATCAATGTCATGTGTATCAACTGCTTCTTAGTGCAGATCGAATCCTACCAACCAAGTTGCAATATGGCAATTAGTCCAGGTGACTCGACATTGCATGCACTATGTTAAGATGAGATGATGGTTGTAAGTAGTCAACGGGAAACCCTGGACCCGGGTTTCGTGCTATTCGGCACTCGTCAGCAAGCTGTACTTGTAATCTCGAGGGAACTGATGCTCCCTGGCGGATTCGATCCCCTGTCACCCAGCTTCACAGACTTAACCACTGTTCTATCGGGGAGCATCAGTTCCTTCAAGATTACAAGTACAGCTTGCTGATGAGTGTCAAATAGCACGAAACCTGGGTCCAGGATTTCCTGTTGACTACCTCCAATCACGATCTTATGTAGAATGTTCTTTGTAAGTCGTTTTTAAGAAAAAATAACACATCATCTGAGAGATAAATGACAGTATCAACTTATCCGATTTGCTTATTTTTATTCGTTTATGGTCTACTCAATTTCTAACTTAACATTTGTCCACTCCAACCAATGTACTATGTATTCAACATTGATAACTTCTGTTTTACGTGTATGCCTACTAACCAACATTTCAAATCCAATATAAATGTATTAGTTTGTCTTTCTTTATGATAATTTACCTCACCAACTAAGTTTAACTGGGAAACATTGTATGGCAACTAAAAAGCGTCTCATCCTAGTTTCGAACTTATTAGCTACATACAACTGTGATTCGACGTGGTGTATCTAGCTTCACCCGTCACTCTCGACCACATTAATGTTGAGCCATGAAATCAAAGTCGATTAGTCATCAGGAACGCAGATGTCGGAGATATATGCATCCGTTTAACGTTCTACACCGTAATGGCACGACGAAATGATAATGTCAAAACTTAATGCCAGAATAATAGAAGGAATAAGAGTATCTATAATAGTAGTAGGAAACACTAATCATAAACAATATGGTTTGGGGTGGAAGAAATTTGCAAAACAAAAAAGGTACAGAATAATTTTAGACTCGGGATCCCTTTAAAAAACATAGAATGAATCCATCTACCTTATTACGACTGATTCTAAACCATATCGACCAACATTTCCAATGGTAATCGCGAGAACCCTATCTAAGTAATCCGAACCTGTTAACATGATTCATTTGAACAGTCAGTTGTTTCATGGGTTTATGTTACGTTTTGGTTTAGCTGCCTCACTAACTCTCTTCCCACCTGCAAACATTGCACATAAAGATTATCGATTGTCTTACATGAATGTCCTAACCACCTCAGTCGATGAATACTCCCTACCTCACCAATGTTTCACTATCTTTGTGTATTATCCTGCATCTAACTTCAACATTTCTCATTAAATCAAAATCAAATAATTTGTATTTTCAATATAAGTCGATTAATGAAAAATCTGACTGTCAGGCAGTTTATATAGCTAATGAGTGACTACTGTCCTGACTAAATATTTGACTAGTTTTAACCGGGATGGTGGGAAATTCATCTTAAGAAACTAAAGACTAATGATCATACGATAATTACTTGATACAATTACTTAGTGGGGATTTCGTATAACTTAAATGGTAATTTTCATCGCATACTAACATCTAACGGAATATAAATTTTTTTTATTTCTAACCATATTTATTTAATCAACATATTGAATATATATTTCCCTTCACAGCGTAATATTAAATCTGTTCGACAGTTGATCAATTTACCAGATGATAAACGTAGAGCCCTTTTACGAAGTCTTTCTGATGAACAATATCGTGATATTCTAATAGTTAGTTCTTCTATGCCCTATCTAGAATTATCCTATCGATGTGAAGTAAGTGATTCATTTCATGCTATCGATGTGTATTTCGTTTTTTAAAGTTTATGTCACAAGCTAATCTTAGTTAGACAACCATTTAAAACCAAAGATAACTGGAGAACTGTTTCATCTTAGTATGAGGTTCTTCAACAAAGTGGTTCCAAGACCTGTCAGGGTTTAAAACCTAGGATCTTCAGGACCCATACGGAGCGCTTAACCTCTAAACTTCCATATCAACATCCGATAATTCGAATTTTTAAACTGTTAAGTTCTAAAATCTTCAAAAATTCTCTGTAGTAATTAGCTATTGTTCATTTTCTCATTTCTCAGTACAAAAGATGAACTCTGTTTTTCTTTATTTTTACTGTTGTCGAATACTTATTTATTTGATGATGAGTGATTGTAGAAGAATAAGTACACACCAAAATGTCTTTAATTTTTGTCAATAAAATTCTGTAGCATAGCACAGCTTGGACTATTACAAGAAATCTTTGATTTTTAATTCTTTTTTTGGATACCTTATCAGCACATTCAACTGTCCATAATCGCATTATTGCGATTGCTTTACTGGTTAGTCTCGATAAAGACGAAATCTGGATACAGATCTACCAGTTTATTTCAATTACTGACTGATATCGAAACAAAATCCATCGAATGTCAACTTACTTGTATGAGTCACTACATCGTAGCCTGGTCGATAAAATTTGATCAGCTCTGAATAATAAACAAACATGATATAACTGTGTTATTCTATTTGTATAGCTTCATTATTTACAAACATCCAAACTATATTCACATACTGCCAAAAAGATCCCTTATCCCAAAGTTTCTATGGACTTTATCTCAATCAGTCATAAACAATGTAAATCACAGCACATATATTCATCGATTCGAATCCCTACATTATATCAGCATAGGGAGATAAAATTATTACGATAGGTGCCCGGATGGTTGGAGTAGTAACAACATCAATGCCAGTTGAAAACTTTAAGAATATGCATTATCATTCGAGAAGAAAGATTAAATTCACAGAATAAAAAATATAAATTATTCAAGATCTAAAGAAAGTCAAAAAGTGAATAATACATATCTGCGTCATATTACTCTACGTCTTCAACCATTCGTTACAATGATTGAACTGACTCTAAACATTCAGTTTATATCTGCCTACACGACGCAAACTGATCGTCAGTCGATTTTATGGAGTGCCCTCCTTTTGGTTTAGTTACTCTTAGCTTCTTTCCAAAAAAAACGTCCTTTGTCAAGGTAGACAGTTACTAAACACATGTAATACTTGTTCTAACCACCTCAGTCGATGAAATATTATGCTAACTTATTTATTTAATATTTCAACTTTAAAAAGAAAGTTTGGTCACATTCTTTGTCATTACTACATAAGCTTCAATTTCTACTCTCATGTATTCATCACCTCCTAAAGGTTCCCAAACTATTTTAAAAGATATACAGTTTCTCTCTCTCTCTACTTGCAAATTTTTTATTCTATTTCTTAATCTACTAGGTATTAGATGAAGATGAAGATGATTCAAGTATTTGGCCATTTAGTATGGTTACAGTTACTGTTCTATTAAAACGTAAACCATTATTAGATCCGAATGCAGTGAATAATGCTACAAACGTTAATGGACATACTACTAATTCTAATACAATTACTACTAATACTGGTACTACTAATTCTCCTACTACATTATCCGATTCAAGTTATTTCGATCGTGGTCAAACAATGCAACTTGACTGGAATGCCTATAATAATAATGATTCATTGAATTCTAAACTTTATCCTGTCGCTGATATACATGGTACAGAGACGTTAAAATCGTTGAATTATGATGATTTTCTTGGCAGTGGTGGTGGTGATGAAGATAAGGTAGTAAGTTGAAGTTTTGTTTTGTCATCGTTGTTGTTGAGCCATTCATTTATTCTGTTACATGGTTTTCTGTTATTTTAATTGTTTGTGACTCATCACCAATGCGCATTCCCGACCTAGCGAGCAAAAAACATCAAATACAGAAGCTTCTCTCTCGTGCGTGGATGCCTAACCTATAGACCACTAAGCCGGCATCCAACGGTGTTAATGTCTAACTTTAATCAATACATGATCATGCGTAACCCTTCATCCATTGCCTTGCGGCGGATAACTGTCTCAGTCCCAACTCGAATTAAAATCCACTGGTCATGGCTTCTCACTAGAAATCCAGCAAATCCATTTTGAAGCTAGTTACTAGTGAGCACATAACTGTTATTAGTATGGTCATCCAGAGCCTCAAGGTTTCCAATACTGTTCTTGCTATAATCGGATCGTGATTTCAACTATGAAAATAATACAATTTCACAAATACGCCATATTAATTCAATTGTAGTTAAGCATATTGTTCTGTTGTTATTGGAAGAAATATTTATCGATGTTTGCTCTGGTTCTTGAAAAATTACGTGAAACACATTGACTGTTGTATAGTTCGGTTCTACTACATAGTTGATCACTGTTATGGTTATTTTCACATAAAATGAAGATTTCAGTAGAATGATTTTTTTCCCATTGTTCATTGTCGCATAAGTTTTAACCTAAAAGTGTACATTCTCTCTGCACAAACAAACTAACAATTTGTAACTTTATGAATCGGCACCATCCTTTTTTATATAGTCTTCTAACCTATTTCTATACTGGTCATTATACTACATTGAGGCAATAGATAACTAGACACATGTAACATGTAGCATAACCACTGTATTTATCTAGTACCCTACACTAATACTTAATCTTTAGTCCTATTCTGTTTATAAGTGTTTGAATCACGTATCTGTTCGTTATCTGTCATATACGTAACATTCCGTATTTTGTGCGTATATGTTCCTTTCGTCATAATTTCCTTGTACTATTTCAGCTTGATAATGTTGGCAATTCAACGAAGTCATCAAAGAAAACCACTCCACCTGTTTGGGATAAAAGTAAAAGGAAAAAAGGTGTACGCAAAAATAAATCACGTAAACAACAACAACAACAGCAGAAAAACTCTTCATTGGGATCGGAAAAAGTCAACCAATTGGAAATCAATCCTACAGATGAAATTGATTCAGAACAAGAAGATAGTGATTCTGTTGTTGGCATTGATAGTAAGTGATACTTGTTGTTGTTTTAATTCATTTTTATTTATTGTTTTAATACTTGAATTGATGTTTAGAGTTTTCGAAGTTGAATTCACGAGTCGATCTAAGCTAGATCACCATTGGACATCTGGAAGTACTAGTCGGCCGTTTCGTCCTATTATGGGACTCAGCAATGCGAATCCACGACTCAACTCTTAAAATACTACAATCTCCACAGGTCCCCATACTAATGTTTAGAACTAGAATTAATTAATCTTTATTTGCTGACAATTGTATTCGGCGGCCTGCTTGAGCATCTGGGCTACCTGTTCCTGTCATCTAGATATTTCAACAAGTTATCTATTTTTGTTTGTTTTAATATATCATTATGTTTATTAATCGCACAACCTATTCTGCTGCGTTTCTGAAAAGTGTACAACCTTTCGTTGTCAAAGTTACAAACAACTCAATAAGAGACAATGTGGTTGCTGGCAATATACAACCAAAAGAATGCATATTATTCAGATGTTCATTTAGTGAACTGCTAACATCTAACTGGCGATCACTCAATATTTATCGCCAGGACCGACGAAGAAGAAAGAAACGGAAACTTGTTGAAATACTTTACGCTGAGAATTCTATATTGTACCAAAAATATAATATTGAATAAAGCTGATAATAATAATAATAATAACTCAGTTACTAGGTAAATTATAGTGTTTTGGAGTTGGAAAAGATGAGTATCGGTGTTGAATCTGTGAGTGAACATCAACTCGGAGATATTTGTATATTTAGCCGATGAGTTTCAAAATGAAATCCACGTTCTATATTTCATTTTCAGCCATATTCCATCTCTTCTGTATATTTTCTCATTGGTGTAACGAATGGTGTGAATTATTTTTCACTCTCAGGCAAACTACGTTAATACGACAATGAGACTAGTTGCATCATATCAGATCTAGGATTCATGATCCAGAAAAGATAACCAAAGTATAGACTAGATAATACTTTATTCCACACAATTACAAGCAGTCACATTCAGGAAGTCTGGAGTAGAAATGAATGAGAGGAAAGGAAATCACATAATCAATAGTCAGTAGACTAAGTCTCTGTTTGTCCACCCTCAGTGACCAATCATATTTTACTTTCACTATCAGATATCACTCATGTTTGGCAGCTTCTTACTGTAGTTGTTTCTGTTATTTCTTTTAACCTACTTTCTCACCTCATTAATTTTCTTTTTCTCGCTATGTTGTGGTAAAACATGTATGTCTGGATCAATACTTATTCATGCTAGCGTCTGTCATTTATTCAGCCCCTGTGTGTTCAATTGTTTTCACTCTTTGTTCTAGATTTTACAGCTTCAGCGTTTCATTACTGCTAGCTTCACATCAACTAACGAGTTAAAAGTTATCGACTAAAGAATGTTCTTCTGAGGAAGGTAGAAATTGTTCTTCTCAAGTTTTCTATATCTTTTTCATTCTCGAAATTCGTGTTCTTGTAAAGCAATGAATTCCCTATTTTTGTAGATTTCAAATTCATATTGTTGTCAACATTCTCACGCTACATAAATCCAACATGTTTCGATTCTTGATATCACAAGGGAAAGAATTAAACTGTCTGAGAGAAATACTTATCGAAAATATATATCCATCAAGATTTTACTGACAACATATATAAACATTGAACATTCAGAAGTATAAGTAACTTTTGTACTACTTAAATTGTTACTTCATAAGATCATTGATTTCAAACGTGACAAAGCTACAAACATCTTACATAGAATGATTACTACCTCCCATCCCTCCCCCTCAAAAAAACATTTTACATCATTCAGAATAATAGTTAATAACTTCAAGGATTAGTACAATTACCTTGAAATCCTCTTCACACTGATGGTACTCTGAAATTATGTTTTAAACACTACGATTATTGAAAAGCATAGTTTGTTGCTTTCCCAACAAATTTAACAGATTTTATGAAGAGTAACAAAGGAGGCAACTACCTGGATAGTTCTACTTTACAAAAGATTATTCAAAAACGGCTACAAAAGTGCAAACAAAAAGTGCATAATATTTTTGTAATTGTGCTTCAGTAGAAACAAATGCCATTCACTTTAATATACTCAAGTTGAATTGACCTGTGATAACATCTATTATTATACTGTTTACTTCGTTTTAGGTTGTTCATTTAAATATTTAGTAGAAATGGAATTTATATTATATTCAGTGTTCTGTTGAAAGTCCTCTAACATTGTATCCCTTGTATTAGTAACATTTTCAGTCAGTAATTTGATCTCGTAGATCAATCGACTGACATCTTATATACCATGTAGCTTGTGAATTAATTAATTAATTATTATTGATACATGTTAATATAGGCACAAGGAGGCGCCAAATGCATATGCACCACAATTCGTCATCCGATATGTGTGAGGGCTGAAATGCTGCCCGGGTGCCCAAGCAAAACCAGGTGGTTTTCTTAGAGAGCTACTCCCCGAGCCTTTGACCTAGAGTTCTAATCAACATGGCAGTGGAAAAACATTAGTAGATGCAGTCCCATGGTAGCTGGTGATCAACAGTAGGTTCATACACCATTTATTCACTCAGGTTCCTGGAGTCCATGTGCACCATTGGTTTGGACTCAGAGTTTTCCAACTCCCCTAGAGGGATCTTCCGTATGCATTAAACCAATCAAAGCACCTGACATTCGCATTGGAATAATTCTGTAAAACTTCATTAACGATGTCTTATTTCAAGATAGATTTTTTTATATAACAGAATACTGTAACCAGTATAGTCATAGAAATAAACATTTATACTAGTTATAATTAAAAAGCATCACATATTAAAATCGAATAAATCTGTTAGATTTTAATATGCTAGTTATGAAGTTTTAAGATTCTCGATGTCTAACTTCTTGTTCATCTCTATGTTTGTAATGTTCATTAATTCACTGTATGTCTTTAAACCATAAATTTTTCAGAGAATAATCGTTTCTTATCAGATCACTTTATCAAGCTAACATAATAGTTTACTATTACATCCCTGTACACAAAATGATGTCTTGATCACATTACTCGTGAATATATATATCATCTTCGATAAAAATTAGTGAGGGTTTGTTTTGACAGTTATTTCACGTAAGTGATGTCAAAAATATGCCTATGTTTATTAAGTTACTGTCAACTGATATGTTATTTAGTGGTCGAATAGGGTAGTAGTATTGATACGTCACCTTTTTAACAACTGAAACCTTCCCCTTTCATTTTTATTGCCTACTCAAATTTGCTGTTGTTTCTTCTGCTACTTTTCACAGTCTCAAACTTTCATTTTAAGTTTTTGTATGTGCTTTATCTCTCTATGCCTTTTACTTGCAGAGATCCCAGATCATATTGGTTTTACCAATTCATCGGTTCCATCAGAGTTCTCTATAAAAGAAAAAGATGAATCTGTTCAACCAAATCATATTGATGATGGACAAGTCCAAAGAAAAATCACAACGGATACTTTCGTTGAATCATCTTTACCATCTTCATTAAATACAAATAAATCTTCTTCAAGTAGAAAACCTATGAAACCACACAATAAATTATCTAGTATGATGGATTCAAAAACACATTGTACACATGTTGTACATTGTCCTTATTTTCCTGTGGTAAGTCGTAATCCTGGCTAATTAAAATCAGTTAGTCCGTACTCGAAACTGTATGATTTTCCAGTATCATTCCCATCGCTTCTTAGAAGATAGTTTTTATCTAAATAGGTGTTATTAAGTGTCAACATTAATTACAAAGTACCTCCACTGTTTTCATACAATTTTTCACAAACAACAGTAGTCGAACACGGTGTCATTGAATATCCTCAGGTTATACGAACTGTGTTCAAAAAATGAATAACAGAACCGATTATAGTTTAATATTTCATACTAGATATTGTAATAGTCAAACTGACGTTGTGAGTAGTCAAAAAATAACCTGGATTTAGAAGTAACCCACTGTGCGATTCGTTATAAATAAACTGATCTCATCTCCCATACTAATGTCAACACTGACATGGTTACTCAATTATATGTAGTTCTTGGGTGTTTTTAAACACTTATTATCAAATCTAATTCCGAATACTAGTTCTTTTCAATTTTGTAACAACACTAAAAACTTGGTTGTGGGTCGTGTGTGTGATAGTATTTTAGTGAAGCCTATACCATCTCTAAATGGATTTATATTCATCAATTGGGAAATCTGGAAAGTCTGGATGAAATTTTATTGTAAAGTGAATTAACTTAACTATCTTTCCCTTTCCTCAACTCAATATCCTATGAATCTTTGAAAATATAAGCGAAGATGTTAGATAATGTGAGAAGTTGAGAGTGATATTCGGATTCAAATCCTTCTTATATCTCAATATTATGTTCGCATCATCAATCCTTTGATATCCTTAAATTTGAGTTTCGAAACTTTAATATCTAATGAAATTGTTTAAATTATTTCATTTACGATCTGATTAGTGGATGTTTTAAGAAAAATTTTAAAAGTGACTCACCTTTTCATGACCTATGTGTGTACCTAATAGTTCACCTACGTTTACCATCTATTTACAGGAGAAATTTGAAGGTTGGTGGATATATCTAGCTGATAGGAAAACTCGTCAACTTATCACTAAACCTATTTACATTGCCACATTACAAACTGAAGAAGAGGTCAGTTCGGTTGGAATTTTATTTTCATTGTTGACTAATAATCTTTTCTCACATAGTTATTACAACCTGTAAATTATGCATAATCTAAATATATTATTTTAGATTAATGCTAGAAATGTGAATTGTTAAATTTTGATTTCACTTGTTGAAATCATGAGTCAACTGAAGCTAGACCACTATAGAAAACCTGGAAGCACTGGACGGCCGTTTCGTCCTAGTGTGGGACTCCTCAGCAGTGCGCATCTACGACCTCGCCCCCTGCGAGATTCGAACCCAGGACCTACTGGTTTTGCGCGCGAGCACTGGACCACTGAGCCGGCATCCAACGGTGTTAACACGAAACGGCCGCCCAGTGCTTCCAGGTTTTCCATGGTGGTCTAGCTTCAGTTGACTCATGATTTCAACCAGTGGAATCAAAACTTAACAATTCACATTTCTAGCATTAATCCCGACCGTAGCTGCTACCTTGACGCGGTGTTCGGGCTTGCCTATCGTGATGACCCAACCGAGGTATATTGGCTGGAACATATGTTCCTGTAGGTTCTACCGTGCCAGGCAGGTCGATTGGAGAACGGTAAGACTAAAAGCACCAACTCAAGGTCTGAGGGCGAAGTAGTACTGCTGACTGTAGAGAGGTGTGACAGCAGTAATGTGTTTTCCTCAGACAACCAACATCTACAACGCTGCTGCCTTCTCACAAGGAAGGAAGGGGTTAGAAAAGTTCGACCCTAAAAATATCACACCTCACCTTACCTCACGGATTTCCGTCTCCGGCGGTAAGGCCCTTTGAAGAACGGAGCTAACACGTCAAAAACCTCCCACAAAAAGACCGGCCTCAAGCAGTTGTCCCTTGGGCTCTGCGGTCACGCTCCCAGGTCGTTAAGGCTAACATTAATCCGAATTCCTTTTCAGGTTCCTCAAGAAATACCCTTCGACGGTGTGGGCAGCCGGGAAGTGACACCAGCCCTCATACCCATAACAGCACACGAGACCAAGTTGGTCACATTCAAATCCATGGTGGTCTAGCTTCAATTGACTCATGGTTTCAACCAGTGAGATTTCTAAAATATCCACAAAACCCCTTCTGATAAAGTTTTGGTTCATCAATGTGACAACAATAACCATACTCTCCGCGAAACCTAAAAATAATTAAAACCTATATAAATAGGTGTGGATAAGTACGGCTGAGAAGTTGCAAAAATCAGAGCTAGTCAGTTGTCCATTATGCAACTATATTAATATATTATGCTGCTAAATTGATCTGGATCAAATTAGTGTCTTTAATTTATTCTAAGCTTTATTTAAAAAATAATGCTAACTAGTAGGTTGAAAAATTGTACTCTCATTGTGTAAGCTTAAATCAAGAAGTTTTGTTTTCATGATTCTGAGATCGTTATATCATATTATCATTTTGTCGACCTTTGAAGGGTTCTGAGCACTAATAATTTAGGAAAAGCTATATGAAATTGTACATGAAAATATTTACAACTCGTTATATAACCTAAACATATACCGATTTTCATGACTTAAGTAATGAACAGATCTTGGCTAAATCACTATTAAAAACGTAGAAGCACTGGAGTGCCGTTTCCTCCTAGTATTAGGGAATCTTCAAGAGTAGGCACTCATGACCCGGTAACTGAGAAACGGACCCAGGATATTCGGTCTTGCCTGCTAACGTCTAACCTTTAGACCACTGTGTCGGCATCCAACGGTAATAACGTGACTTCAGTCAATTCACGATATAGCACAACTCTAATCCTTTTCAAGGGTCCTGGGTTTGATTCACAGCCGTGGGCTTGAGAATACCCACTGCTGAAGTGTCAAAATCTAGGACTAGACAACCGTTCACTGCATCTTAGTTTTCAGTGTTTGTCTAAATTGGATCAGTTCGTGAAATCAACAAAATTGAACAATTTTCGCAACCCCATTCCGATGAGTTTTCAGTTATTTCTAACCATAACTTTACAAAATTATATATATATATATATAGCTTTTTGCAGACAGTTTATTTCTTTCTGTTTTTCCGATAATAATTCATTTTACAGCTACAACTTAGATTTGTGGCACCTCCTATCCCTGGTCAGTATTTGTACGTACTATCCGTTCGTTCAGATAGTTACATGGATTGTGATTTCACTGAATGTATTCGTGTATGTCTCTATTTTTATGCCGTTTGCTTTTGATATATCTTATTGGATTGTGTGATTTGTCTAGTTTGTGCTATATATAATGGGAAATATTTGTAGTTCAATATGATCATTGTGGAAATGTTGTGTTATCTAAGCTGGATAAATGGCTGTTATGTCTGAGATCAGTTCAGAGAAGAGAAAGCAACACTGACCACACATTCATGGGGAACAGTTCATCAAATTCTAGGTCAACACAAGCAATTAGTAATTAACTGTAATGGAATTTTAAAAACGGCTTACTTTTTAAAGTAGGCTCTGATGATGTCTTAGAATACAGTGATAAGCTTCAATGCTAAACTGTCAAGCTTAGAGAACACATAGCACTTACACACATATAGTTATGAAGCGTTCTATACTGTTAATAATATATTTGTAAAAACGTATGACAATGATTGACTGACTCATGATAACTCTAGATCTTAAAGTGATAAACATATTATCAATCAAACCATATTCTAAATTCACACTTTAATGTTTTAGTCAACACTTTTTATGATCGTAGCAGTTAGAGTTAAACTAATATAATAGTTCAAATATCCACATAGTATTCTTTTATTCTCCATTGGAGTTCGAATCAATCGTTTGGCCAGTAAAGTGTAAACTTAACCTAAATAAATCTTAAAAAGTCTATTCAAACTATTCAACACATAAGGTGAATACACGATCAAAATCTAAAACTCTTTGATTTATAATCAGTCGACTACTTCACTTGTTCGTAACGAGAATAGTATACAACGGTAAAAAATCATTTATAGTTACTTAATAACTGAGTAATTATCAATGTCATGTTTTTGTTTTCTTTTATTTCTGATCGGATTCTATCATGTTCTGGTTTGTCCACTAGTCTACGTGACTTGATATCGCGTGTAATATGTTGTGATATTAGCTGGTTGGAGGTAGTCCTCATGAAACCTTCCCTGCCCTAGGTTTCGTGTTGGTCCGCACCCGTCAACAAATCCTACCTCCAATCTTGAGGGAACCGATGTTTCTCCTTATTAGATATGTGCCCAAATTATCTAATTTCACATTCTGAGATGTTAGCACTGATGTATATGAATCACTGTTGACTTCATATAAGACAAGTCTAAAATATTTACAGTTGATTGATCACTGACTAGTGACTTTGTTATATGCTTGTGTAATCCTTTAGTATCGAACGAATTGTATCAAAGAAAATCGCATTCTATGCATAGAAGCTACTTTGCAAATCATCTAAAATTATTGCGCAAATTTCTAAATCAATTGTTCTTGCCATCAAGTTATTCATAAATATATATCTATCACGTGTTAAACTTAAGACTAAAATCTGTATTATCCAATACACTTAGTAGAATTTTACAACAAGGGAAAGTTTAGAAAGAGTTCTTGTAATGGTAACAATCACTTAAAAAGCAACCAGTAGGTTAACTGATCAACTACAAGAAGGAACAGAACTAGTTTTTTTATATTATTTTATTTATTTAAGCACATTAACACTGGTACAAAGAGGCACCAAATATATATGCGCCACACTTTGTTATTCGATGTAAACTGAAGCAGATGGTTTTCTTAGGGAGTCACTCCTTGAGCACTTGACTAATCAACAAGGCAGTGGATCAACGTAAGAAGGTGCAGTTTCATGGTAGCCAGTGACCAACATACGCCATTTGCTCCCTCAGGATCCTGGAGCCCATATGCACCAATGGTTCGGAATCAGGGTTCCCTAACTCCCCTAGATGAACTCTCCATATCCACCAACCCGGTTAAAGCGCAAAACATTCTCCTTTCGTTCTCTCAATTTCGTAAACAACACCCGTGGTGCGAGAAGGCAGTGAGTAGGATTTCCCTGGTAGTGGCTGTATATGCGTGGCTATGTGAGAGCATTTTGAGAGGCAGAGCGGACTCTACCCTCCCTCGGTCGCACCAAGGTTTTAGGGGGCTTTATATTGTTTGAGTTCTCTGTACTAGATGGCTTAAATTGTAGAGCTTACATTCACATCTTTTATTCATAAAGTAGACATTAATGTTGTTATTTAAAATGACAACAAAAGTTCCGTAATTATACCATTTTCTAATACATATAACTCAATAACAAAAATATTCAGCTAAATTGCAAATATTCACTGTCATTTCAGAACTGTTGATCTTATTTGTATACCAATAAACTTCAATAATCAGAATAGTTACCATGTTAAAAATCTGTTTTTCATTCACTTATTTATTTAAATAAATGCCAGATAAATATTTGTAATAATTTGTTCTATATGTCTCATGCATCTATTATAAAGTGTACCACTGACAACATTGTTTCTAACCTTATTGATTGTGAACGCTTCTAATTTAATATGTTTGTTAGAACAAACAGACAAACATTTGAAAGTTCATATATAGTTGTTGCTTTTTTATTGAATAACATAATCTCCGACTTATATTTCGTGTTGTTATTACACAACTTCATCACACATATGCACAAGCTGAGCAGTCAACCTATTCTGAATTGATTTGGTAATTATGTTCAGAAAACCAAACGATTATCACATTGAACTAATGTAACAGGTATTGAAGAGCTTTTCTTAAAATAAAAATCTGTGACTGAAGTTATCCACAATATATTTTATTAAACACTTCATGAGAAATGTTTACAGTTATCCGTAACTGTTTACTATGAACATTTCAGTGTACCGAAGCCCTATATCTAAAGTGAAAAACACAAATATAGTGAATAGTAAGTCTTGAGATGTAATGTCTTATGAAAATTGCACTAGTATATGCACTACTCATTCACTAAATTTACAGATTATTAATCTAAAGTGTTGTGTATAACATTGAAAACGTTGCGGGTAATGTTATCTTATTAGGTTTTACACTTCTCTCTCTAACTTACAATATTATCGAATATTCAGTTACCTTGTAGTGTCAATTTAATCTTAATAGTTGTCGAAAACAGGTGAAAAGTTTCAATCATATCAATAATCACCTATCGGTAGTCTCGATAACTGGTAATGTTCATTGGAGTTTTACCTAAAGAAGGAAGGCAATTCAGTGCTTGATAAGCACTCTACTTTAATTAGTGCCCAGGTAGTTCTTTTAAAATTACAGGTACTTCTGGCTGAAGAGTACCGAGTAGCACAAAACGTATGTCAACCAGAGTTTCCTGCGAACTGCATCCAACCAGCTAACATCACAACATGGCGTATACAATGTCAAGTCACTTAAACTAGTAAACATATTCGAACTTGATATATAAGATTCGGTCAACTTTAAAGGACTAAACAAACATGACGTTAGTGATTACTCAGAGTAGTAAATAATTCCCCAGTGTTGACATTTATAGTTGGTTATTGTGGCTATAATATTTTTTAGTTCACTGTTCGTCCACTTCCTGAAAGAATAGTACAAATCCTTAAGGAACAAGAAGAAGCTGCATCAGATGACGATGATGATAGTAGCGATACATCAAGTACTGATACTGAAGATGATGATGAGGTAGAAGCAGAAGAAAAACAAGAAACAGAAAATGGTGTCGTAATAGACAATGAAGAAGATCCGGATATTGAAGTATTGTCACAGGAGGAATGTACTCAAGCAAGTATGGTTATTGTTGAAGAATCAAAGAAATGTGATGATGACCTTTCTTCAAACAAGAACAATGTTGATAATAAACAGGAACCTGATGGTGATGGTGAAGATGATGATGGTGACGAACAAAATATTCGTGGTCATACTAGACAACTATACCGTAAACGTGATAATAAATGTTTGTCAGTTTATTTGCCTAAATCTTGAAGTATTTACATTTTTCAATTCTCCTTCACACATGTTTTAGTGTTATTTTTATCTATCAACTTGCTGCATTCATACATCTTCTTTTGACTATTTATGTATGTTAAAATAAACTATATAATGTACCCATGATATCAGTGTGTTCTTTGTTTCTACTATTGTTCCTGTTGCGTATTTGTAGTGTAAATTTTTGAACTAGTTCCAACCGTCATTTATGTCGATTGACGACGTTCTCTGGTACAGTAACAGGTTAGAAAGCAACGGACAGCCAGGTCAAAATGTATCAGACAGTTTGCATGAGTCATGTCGGTAGATGCAAACTAACTGATTAGGGTATGCAGTATAATGTTAACCACTGACTGATCGCATCTAGTCACATGGTACAGATTTACTCATTCTTTGTCTTCCTTTAAATCCTTAGGTTTCCATAGTTCTTTTGATACACCAACGTCTGTACTCGAGAGATTTATGGCGCTTGAACGGCAGACAGAAGGAAAATGAAATGAGCTCTACTTACAAAGTTTGTCCCCTTATACTATACGAAGTATTTATATGGATCTTAGTGACCATATGTTTCTGGTGACTTGTAGTCCTACACAGGTAAATTGGTGATAAACTTTTCATATTATCAATGTAACTAAGGAAGATAATAATGGGTTAATTTGTAAATTTTCCCGAACACTTAAAAAAGGGTGATTAGACATAAGTTGTTTGAAACACTGTGACTTCCGATCAATTGTTTAAGTATTTTAATTGTTTTGTGACTTGAAAATACATGTCTGCAAGCGAATCAACAAAACGTAATCGAAATAAGGATGTGTAAGTTAGTCATCAGCAAACAGGGTCCTACGCCCCATCCTTGTTCGAACTTTAATTTGAGCGACCGAGTATAATCATTAGCCCTGATGTTGAATGTTGAAATCATACTCAAGTATTTAGTAGTTGGAACTAGTCAGTAATATGTACCTAGGTTCCTTCTGGTACTGATGCTTGCTGCGTCACGCAGTGTCACCGTCCATGACGTTACTGTTGAGTTATTTTGGTCTTAACTGACTAAACTGTACCACACAGAACAAAAAGTGTCACAATATTTTTTTCATTATTGTCACATTTATATCTTGAAGCGGCCACGGAAATGAGGTGACACTGTAGTGAAGGAGAACATATGTGAGGACAACCAAATTGTATTTAGCACAAAATTACAGAGTTACTTTGTAAAATAGAAAACCATATAGTAAATCGTTAATTTGCAAAATATCATTCCATCATATCAAACCGAACTGTTGCTGTTGCAAATGTAGTAGCATTGGACAATAGCCACACAATCCACAAAGCTGTGAACACGAGACTACTCAGAAAATAGATATTCAATATTTAACGCGGAGAAATACCTAACAATGGAGAAGGCGCGAACAATGAATTGAATGGACTGGAGTTGATCGAGTGGCATGGACGATCTTTGTCGTCGTTGTTGTTATCATTGATGGATGCATAACGTTGAATAACATTCATTGATTCCCTCCTCCCTTGTTTTGAGTTACGCACTGATTACCCGGGTCCATGAGATTCCTATCTTTCAAGTGCATTTCGTGATCCTTTGGACAGCATTAAAGCAATTCCCTGTATGCGGAGCATTTTCTACTTCGTAAGCAGAGTACGGCAGCATCTCTACAGTATCTAGCCTCTGCTTTATAGCTCGTGTTTTAATGTGGTTTACTGGTCCCGAGAAATACCAAGCTGTGTTGTGGTGTGTGCTACTTATATTGATACAAGTAGTATATAACGTGAGTTAAAAGAACATAATGTCTGGCAGCAGAAGATGGGGAAGATTAAGAAAGGAAGAGCGAGAACACAATCGAATTTGTAAGAAATCGCATGAACAATGAAATGTGAGACAATGGATTGATGTTTGTGTAGAACTATGGTCTACTATGATATTAGTACTGCTCTAATAATAAACCTAATCCCAAAATTGTAGATTCGTCATGATATAACTGCCTAATCTATAAGATCTTACGTGGAAGTCACACCATCGACTACACCAACTCACTGTATCGTATCAATTACCAATACATGATGAGGAACAAGGTTAGGCTAGAGAAAGAACAATATATTTAATATGAATAGAAGATATAAAGTAACACTGAGATGGACCACGCCTGCATGGACGAGCCATGCCACTCGATCAACTCCAGTCCATTCAATTCATTGTTCGCGCCTTCTCCATTGTTAGGTATTTCTCCGCGTTAAATATTGAATATCTATTTTCTGAGTAGTCTCGTGTTCACAGCTTTGTGGATTGTGTGGCTATTGTCCAATGCCACTACACTACTCTCCCACCAGAATCAACGTGATGTTGGTTCGATACCAAATTGGATGGGATCGTCGCGCGCCGGAGGTTACCAAGGATAATAAGAATCCTCCGGGTATTGGTAAGCTGAAAGATAAATCAAAAAGAAAGCGGCAGCATCTGGTCGGGAAATACATGTAATAATCTTAAAATATCTGCTTTCATGATTAACACGCTTAAAATGAAAATTTGGTTGAAGATTATTTGAACTATAAAAAATGGGATTACAATAATAATAAAACGATGCGTGTTAATAACTTAACTTATAGGCAGTAATTATTTTGTGTTTAGAAATATTAAAATAATGGATATTGTAGAAATGTTAATATTGGTATTAGTTTTGGTTTAAATTATGAAATCAGATAACGATTATGCCGGTAAGTTGTCCATATGAATTGATTTCCAATTGCATCTGTATTAGTAGGCTAACTGAAGGAACAAAAGTATACCGTGGAGAAGAATTCCAACTAGTGTTCCAGTTAGTTTGATACGGTTTATTTAGTTACGGGGAGATTTCCTCAACCTCATTTTTACTTGACCGTGATAGAATTTAGTAATACTACTAATACACATGAATGTTCATCAAAACAAAATTTAAATACGTGAGTGATGATTATATGAATTTTGGACAGATAGCTAGGAAAAAATCGTTAAACATGAGTGTATTCGTAAGAGACATGCTCTAGACTCAATGTTCTGATCTGTGGCAGACTATTTATTTGTATTTATACTTGCCGGCTGATTGGGTATACAAGTCAGTTGCAAGTATGCAGTTTATTATAAGGCGGAATACGATTTAATTGAGATATAGTGGTTATAAGTTACTAAAATCAGTTAAGCCTATGGGTCATATTACGAAGTGATGTTGTGCTGCAAGATGGACTTGGCTAAATAAGTTTTTACAAGATGATTAATAGTGAGTGATGCTCATGTGATTATCAGGGAGTACATAAGTTGTAACCAAGGGGAGTACACTCCCAACTCATGTCTATGATAATGGCTTGAACCTTAGTCAGTGTTGGGGTAAATTCGATATTGATGTTTTCAGTTTGCAGGAGATTTGCTCGACTGCTTATACTGATTATTTGCATGCATGATTGTGTCGCTAAACCATCAATTAGACTGACAAGGTTTTGAGATATTTACTGAATGAGCAACTGAGAGAGAAACATACTGTAATCATCTGTGATGAATGAAGATACCAAGAAAACAACACCATTTAATGGTAATTATAAGCCAATATGTCAACCGATTTCGTTAATAGTTTCATTAATTTTATCAGTCATATTACGTGATTGTCAAGTTATGACAATGCTTTATGACGATATCCTGAAACTATTATGTTTAACTAGTTATAGTGTTGAATGAGGATTAATCAGTGGAAAAATAGGTGTTGTTGCTTTAGGTGATTCGAAATTATCAGAAATTTGTAACGTTAAAGAATCCGAGACGCCTAATTTAATTATAAATTTCAATTCAGAAATATTCGTTTAGTGTTAATTCTAGTAGGCTACGGAGTTTTGATTTTAAACGTTTGTTTAGCCAACAGCCACCTAGGGATTTAGTTATTTTACTAGTGCAGTTAATAGTACCTAAATTTTTAATCTTATCATCTAAACTATGTTCGCATTTTAGGCTGCTAATATGATAGATCAATCCATAAAGCCAAATACGATTAGCGACAACGACTATGATGGGTTTATTGATAAATGTTAAAGGCGATTCAGATGATTCCTAAATTTAGAAGACATGAAGATATAGTGTAACGTATGTGCGGGCTAGGTTGACAAGCAGGTTGTTGACGTATATGACAATTTAAAAATAATGAACATGATCAGATAAATAAATTCCAAGTTAAGACTGCTTGTGAAACTTCAGGCAGGAATATGACGCGTTATAAACATTCCATAAGAAGTTACTGCATTTAACCTAGGGACACTTACAAATATATGGCAAAAGCAACTGAAAAACATATACATGTTAAGTACAAAAAAGCATCACTAAGTAAAATAGTTGAACTCGCCTGGGTTATTTTCGATTATTAGATTATTCAGTGGACGACATATATAACGCCATTCGTGAGTAGTATTGATCCAAAAGCATCCAGAATAAAAAGGGCAGTATGGCAATCACTTCCAGGGTGCTTGATGCTGTTGAGGTTTTTGGGACTCGCTCTGATCGGAACAACTGGATGAATCCAGATAATTGTGTGTGCCATCGAATGAGCCATCTAAAATGAACTTATGATTGCAGAAAACTTATAGATGGAACTCACCGTATTTTTTTGGAGAAGTGTCATCCTTGTTGTTTGGCAATGGAACTCGAGAATATGAAATTAGGCAGGCAGTGGTCAGAAGAAAAGATATTACAGGATAGTGCATAGTTTAAAACAGGATGAGGAGTTAAGTAAAGGAACACTGAGAATTAAATCCAGATAACTATTTAGTCCTTGATCGCATTGTTAGTCAATGTATATTTACGCTATTTACAGGTCATATTTGCTAGAGCTTGATGTTTAAACAAGACTATGTCGCTGAAGCATGTAAATGCTATTATAGTTTGTTAACAAACCATCAAAGCTAATTAGTTAATATAGACGACCAGTTTTTATTATCGATTGAGCTAGTTTGTCATGAGGACTAATCAATATAACATTACAATGATGCATGTGAGCATTAATCAGAGGACTATTAGAATACAGGGTTAACATAAATATAAAATCGATCGAGAAAGTTGAAGTGGAAATAAGGATTAATAATAATAGGTTGCGTTTCTTTAGTTG